GTGATGGTAGCTACCACCAAAAGGTGTAAGTTCGCTTCGTCTAGATCCATACCATTCTGACAACAGGTAGTGGTAATAGATATTCTCACCTATCTTGAACCAATTGAGTTTGGAACCGATAGTGGAGCTGGTCTGTAATGGATAAGTGCGCATCATCTGCAAAGGGTATCTGTGAGGGTAGGATTAATGGTAGGCACTGTATAACTTGGATTGAACAATAATCACAGGTTATAGGTGGTTAATATTGCACTGTCTTCAATCATTGTGGTGTCTATATCACAACTAGGATTTGGAGGCCTGGGTTCGATTCTTGGGGTGATTTTGACGTATGGCAAGGCAACTATGGTGTAGGCTATCATCTTAGGTTGTTTTTGACCCTCTTTCTAGTAGTTGTGATGAATGTGAATGATGGCTGGATACCATATCTCTCTACTATGAGGGTTCATTGGTTTGGCAGTTTACTCAGATATTGACACCAATTCACCTAGGTTTAACGCCAACCCACACTGGTTTGAAATATAGCAAAGAGGGGTTAATAGTGAAATTAGACGTGTTGTAAGACGTATCATTCTATTGAAAAGTATGCATCCAAATATATTACTACTTGTGCATGCCTAGTAAAAGTATCAAAAAAAAAGAAATGATTTTGACTATTTTGACTATTTCGGATATCTGAAATGATCCATTTCGACTTCATGTATAAATACTATTATTAGTTTGATTAAAATTCAAATTAAAGAAGTCACAAATTTTAAATTATAATTTATAAAAAAAATATATTAGATATGAAAGAATTTTTAATGAAATTAGATCAAAAATTTGAAAAAAGTAAATTTACTTATTATTAGTCTATTTTTAAAAAATAAAAAATTATCTTAATCATTTTGTAAACTATTTGATGCTTATTAGGCTTATTAGTCATTGTTAAATCTTATATAATAAAGTAAAAAAATATAAATAGCTAGTTTATATTTTTTGTTACTAAAATATCATAATATTAATAAATGTAATAAATAAAAATAAGTATTTTAATTATATGAAATATATTAATAAATTAAGATTATTATTGTAAATTATTAATATATGTATATGCAAAGTATTTTTTATATAATTATAAAATATAATATTATTTTAAATTGACTAAAAATTAGATAGATGATTAATAAATAATTGATAGATGATTTATAATCAATTTATATTAATTTTGATTGATAAAATAGGTGTCAATTAGAATAATCATCAGTCATTAATTAGCTATTTAAAATTAGCCTAAAAATTATCTATATTTAGCTATTAATTAGCCTAAATTAGCCTTAAGCAATTCGAAACTAATAATAACAAATTTATATTTATTTAAATTTTATTATTTTTATAATTTTATTATTTTTACATATAGTAATTATTAAATTTGATTTTTGTTAAAAAAAAAGAAAATTAAAAGAATAATTAAATAATTTCTTCAAAAGTCTACCTTTGATTAACTTACATAAAATATATTCATAAAAAAAAATAAAGTAAATAAAATAAGTTAAAAATTCCATCTCAAAATACTTTTTGATTAACTTATTATAAAAAATATAAAGAAAAATAAAGAAAATTTCACATAATAGTATCTTCTAATTTATTTACTTTGATTTTAAGTTGATAATTTTCGTAAAAAAATAAAAATGATAAATTTTCACTTAAAAGTTATCTCTGATTTATTTATTTAATTCCAAGATGAAAATTTTTCTAAAATAAAAAAAATAACAAATTTACATTCAAAAGTTATCTCTAATTTACTTATCTTAATATATCCTAAAAAAAAAATAAAGAAAAAATAAAGAAAAAAAGGTAAAAAACCACTAAAAATTATTATTGAAAGGCTTATCTTAGTTTTGAAAAGATAATTTTCCTAAAAAAATCAAAGAAAATCAAAGAATAAAGGTTTAAAATCCATTCTAAAGTTACTTTTAAAAAGCTTACATTAGTATTAAAAAAAGAATTTTTTTGAAAAATATAAAGAAAAAAGTTAAAAACTATCTAAAATTACCTTTGATTTACTTATCTTAATTTTTAAATAAAAATTTTTCTAAAAAAAAAGAAATATAAAAAGTAAAAGATAAATTTTTATTCAAAAAGTCATTTTCAATTTATTTATTTTATATTTAAAATGAGAAATTTTCTAAGAAAAAAAAAAAAAAAAAAAGGAAATAATAAATTTTTATTTAAAAAATTATTTTTAAATAACATCTTATTTCTGAAATGAGAATTTTTCTTAAAAAATAAAGAAGAAAGAAAAATAGTAAAAAATCTTCTAAAATAAGAATATTTCTAAAAAAAAAATACAAAAAAAAGGAAAAAAAAATTAAAAAAAAAAAATTTTTTGGATTAATCTAAAAGTTTATTAGTTTTATATTGTAAACAAAATAGAAAATTTTGATTAATTAGCCAATTGGATGGTTTTGTATTATTAATTAGAATGATTCTTTTCATTATTTCTACTAAATAATTTGTATTATTTCTTAAAAATGATATTTTGATCATTTCAATTAGATGACTTTATATCATATGTAAATTATTCAATTTGAATAATTTTTATCATTCTTATTGAATAATAGTGTATTATTCTATAAGGATGATGATTTGATTATTCCAATCCAATGATTTGCATAATCTGATTTTATTTATATTTCGACAAAAAGACAAATCAGTTGACTCTTATACTAATAAATTTAAAAAATTAGTAAATATAATCGGAATGACCAAAAAAAGAATGATTCTTATAGGACTTAACCCTAAATATACTCCTCTCATATATTCTTAAAATCCAGCTAACTTGAATATTGCAATAAATTCAGCAAGAACTATTGAAATTAGCTATAACTTTGCAACTGATAAATTTCTAAAATATTAATATGATTACTAGTATTACTTCTACGTATCACCACTGGTGTTCATCACTGGTAATATGTGTTTTATATGAATATGTTATTTGTCATCCGTATTATGCCTCCCTGTTTTCATTTTTACTATGTATTCTAGGGACAGAGAGAATTTTTTCACTACTAAAATATTAGTTTCACGCCCCTTAAATGTCACCGGTCACATGAGGTAACACAAAACATCAATTACTATTGGTTGATTTAACACTGGTGCTGACCACAACATAATTTAATGATACAAACGTGGCTTTTGTTAAAACTTCCGACTTTTTATATATTTATGTATGTATATTAAGTTAATTTCATGCAGAATTATCGCGAACTTTTTTAAAAAATGATTAAAAAATTTTATTTATATCACTAAAATGATTGTTAATTTAAATACAAAGAATATTACTAATTAAAAAATGTCGGTCAAAATCTGTCAAAATCGGTCGGTCAGAAACCTTTGACCGGCCGGACATGTAACCATTAGCATCCCTTAAGTCCGTATAAGACAGCTAATCATTAAAAGCACGTTCATAATTTAATATAAAGAATCTAATCAGAAAATAAAATAAAAAACCATACTAACCTCCTTTTAAAACTGCTGTAATAGGAAGAATTGGAACAAAAATGCTTGGAAATACCTCGAGAAACTCACTTTTAATTCTAGCTTGTAAATATTTAGATTCGCTAAATCCTCCAACTAAGAACATAGCCGAGCAATCGTTTTCAATTTGATCCAATTGTCCTTTAATCAAGTTTATGATTCTTTCTAATACTGGATCAAACATCTCTTTTACTTCTTCAAAACCAATTTCAATACACCATTCCAAACTTTCTAATGATTCACTTTCTTCTCCTTCTACATATTGCTTTATTACTGGTATTTCATCCAAATCAAGCTCAAAAGGTTCAAATCCAGTTTCTTCTCCCGTAAATTTAAATTTTGCAAGTCTACAAAATTCTTGTACGATATATTGTAATTGAGCATAATGAAGTTCTTTCATTTGTTCAATTGCGAATGGTCCTGTTATTTTACCAATAAACTTTAGGAATTCCTGGTCTACGAAAGTTGATCCGCAATAATCTCCTTCATGAACCGTTATTTCGCTAAGCTCGTTGTCTTCCAATAGTACACGTGTTGTTATGTCTACTGTGCCACCACCGCAGTCAACAACCATAAACGAATCTATAACGAACAAATTAAAAATTATATACTGTATATAATGTATATGGGTATGGGTTTTGTTAATATTTATAAACTTCACTAACCTCCTGGCTTTAAATTATCCTTTACTATCGAATTCAAACAATAGATAGCTGCGGCTTCGGCTATTTATAAAAAATAATTACTTTAACTCAAATTTAATTTTAGGAGAATTGCAGCAATAAGTTTTACATACGTTCCGTTGTAAATCGGAGATTTTTACTATATTTCTCCTTCAGCAAACCAGCGCGAAAGGCGCATTCGCGCATTATTGCAATCTCATTATCAACAAATTCCGCCGGAACCTTTTATTTTTTAAAATAAATAAATAAATTGGTTTAGATTCACCCTTTTTTTTTGCTTTTAAATGATGAATAATCCTTACCGTAAGGACAATCGACACATTACTGTGTAAGTCCACATATTGAGTAATAGATAAAGTTTCTTTAATTGATTCGCATAATTTTTTAATATAATCTGTGATGACTTTTTTATAATTCAAATCATCAGGTAAAAAGGGTTTTTCTTTCAAAGATTTTGACAAATGTAATTTAAACCGTTCAACTGGTTTTGATAACTTAGGCCTTGCTATTTCTTTTTTTGATGGTTTACGAGCTAATGCATAAAAGCCCCACGATTCGATAGAATCATAGGAATCATCATTATATTTTATAACGGTCGGTAATTTAAGGCGACCTACGATTCCATCCCAATTATCTTTAACTATAATCTTATCAGGACTCGCAACGTATGCATACGCGTATCCCTTTATTTAATTATTTAATTGAAGAACATTGTTAAATCAAAAATTGTGCACGAATTCCTTCGCTGAAAATCTTTTGGCCAAATTCTTACCGAGCAGGTCGTTCCAAAATCTTTCGTAATAATGACGTTGGAAAAGAAAGTATTTGATTAATCGATTGAATTAATTTTATCAAAGATTTTATGATGGTTCAAAAACATACCAATGGCGAGAACAACTCGAATATCCTTAAACTCTTCCGACATACTTTATTTTTAAATTTTTACGCACTTACAACTTTAAGATACGTTTATTAAAATATAAATAAAGGGAATACCTTATCTACGATATAATTATAAATGGATTATAGAAATTCCCGACCACAAAGAAATTTTGTCATATAACCCATTAACAGCCTTTAATGGTCTTAAGATAGGGTCATATGTACAGATTTGTTTATGGCTTTGTCGAGATTATCAATATTTTAATTAAATTAATATGGATCGGCGTGTATAACATTCCCACGAATTTATTTTCAATGAGCATGTGATATGCCGAAACCCTGAATTCACAAGATTTTTCACCCCACGTGACTTTGGCCGGCATTACGGCATTAGTCCCCAGAATACTTAGTAAAAATGGAAAAGTGGAGGGGGGTGACAAATATCGTGGGGGGTGAAAAATCTGATTATTATATTGTCACATGACCCGAGCTTTTTTCGATGGTGATGAATATGTGGCGTGACTATATAAATGCATGCACCAACCTTGCCTTGCCGATTGAAAAATCTTCAAAAAAAAAATTTTATTAAATCAAATTAAAGTATAAAAACGTATATTTATCATAAATTTGACTGACTGGGATTTAATTGAGATTTCGGAATAATAGTTTATCTTATAACCGCACCGCATGACATATTGTACAACTTTTAAATGCAACATCAATTGCCAACTTCAATTTTTTTTTATTATTTTTTAACAAAGTAAAATGTCTTTTGAATATCTTCAAGAAGTTAGTAAAGATTTGGAGAACTTACTTGAAACTGAAAAGGGATATGACGTTATTATCTACGCCGGTGAAAATGAAAACTCAAAAGAGTTACATGCGCATTCAAATATATTATGTATTAGGTCAAAATATTTTTGTACAGCATTTTCAAATGAATGGAACGAAAAAATGGACGGAAAATTTATCTTAAAGAAACCTAATATTCTTCCTCAATTCTTTAAGATTATTCTAAGGTAATGTGAAAATGTTTTGTTGAATTTTGTTTATATGAAATTAATGCCTAACGTTTATTTGACTAATGCTTTTTTAGATTTCTTTATTGCGGGAAAATTAATTTGAGCGAATTACAAGGAGCTGATATATTGAAACTTTTAATTGCGGTAGATGAGATTAATATTCAATCTTTAGTCACTTGTATTCAAGAATACTTAATTAAACATCGAGACAAGTTTTTACAAGAGAATCCTATAGGAATCCTTGACGCAGTTTTCCATCATGAATCTTTTACAGACTTATGGAACTATTGTCTTGAAAAAATTTGTGAAGAACCTAATGGATTATTTGGTTCAGATAAATTTATAAATTTAAAGGCACCTTTGTTGGAATCGCTTATAAAACGGGATGATTTAAACTTAGAAGAAATCAATATATGGAATAGTTTATTGAAATGGGGCTTTGCACAAAATCCTTCTATTTCACAAGAAAACAAGAAATGGAGTAAAGAGGAAATTACAATCATGAAAAGAACACTTCATAGATATACTCCATTAATTAGATTTCATCATATCTCTCCAGAAGATTTTCTCAGCAAGGTGTATCCTTTAAAAAAATTACTACCAAAGGATTTAGTTAATAACCTTTTGGCATTCCATATCACTCCAAGTAAGAAATCTAATATCGATATACAACCACCTAGACAGTCAAAATTTGGTTCAACCTTAGTTAAATTTCAGCATTTTGCCATATTTTCCAGTTGGATTGATAAGAAAGAAAATTTACATTACAATGAAAAAAGCATTCCTTATAAGTTTAACTTACTTTATCGTGCCAGTAGGGATGGCAACACACATGCTGCATTTCATCAAAAATGTGATAACAAAGGGGCTACTATAGTTATATTAAAAATTAAGGGAAAGATACAAATAGTGGGAGGATATAACCCACTTGTATGGGATCAATGCGGAAATTATAAGTCAACTAATGATAGTTTTATATTCTCATTCGTAAATAGAGCAAACCTTCAAACTGCAAAAGTAGGTTATATTATTAATAGTAATGCTCAATATGCTATTTGTTGTGGTCAAAATCGTGGTCCAATATTTGGTGGTGGTCAAGACATATCTTGGAGTAGTATTAATAATTGGTATTCTAGTCACCCACATACTTATTCTCAAATTGATATTCCAAATGGTCATTTTCAAACAGATGATTATGAAGTATTTCAAGTTATTAAAAATTGAAAAAAGTTACTCTATTATAAATTAATAAATTATGTATATATTAATTTATATTAAAGTAAAAATTTTTGCTTTTAAAAAAAAATAATAATAAATACGATTTGTATGATTAAAACGAATTAGAGTTTGAAAATAGAAATAATAAATTTATTACCATTGTCCATTAATTTATTTTTATATTGAATAAATTATGAAAGAAAAAAAGATATGGATATAATTATCTAAGTCGGAATTCGTTATTTGCTAATAAATTCCCAATGAATCCAAATAGAAGTTACTAATAATAATCTGCGTTACTTACAAGCTTGGATCAAGGTCATTTTTGTTGAATTTTACGATTAAAATTTGCTGTTTTGCGAGATATTCGTGAAATTCCTTTCCATTGATAATTTTTGTTGCACTTTACATAAGCTGTTTTGCTCTTTCGAAGTTTATTATGAAAAACTTTTCAACCGTCTCGAAATATGAGGAACTCATGATTCCTTACGAATATAAACCACGTAATTTTTATGAATGGAAAGAGCCTCATTAAATCTATTATTAGACGATGACATCCTTTTGAGATCCAGATTTTCACTTCAATTATAGCTTCAATTAATCCCCTTTTAAAAAAAGTAAAAATATATTGTCATTCTTCCGAAATTTGAGTTGTTAAGTAAAGTAAGTTAGATGACAGGGATTTAAATTTATATCTTCAAAAGATTAGTCATGTCAACTCGTGACTCGTGTCGTGAATTAAACTCAGATAGTACCCTGTCAAATATTCGAGTTATTCTATAATCATATTATTATCAATCACGACTTTGAAAAAAAAATTTTTTAGTTCCAGAAAATTAATATCTTATGTTACACTAGACTAGATACTTGAAGTTGTTGGGCGATCGTAATTATAAACACCAGTGAACTCATTATCATTTTTCTGAAAAATGTCACAAAAGAAGCTCCTAAGTATGACATCCTGAGGTTGAGGTAACTGTAGTGCTTTGACTATCATCTTCGTCATAGGATTCTCGCTCTTCATCATTGTTGATTGTAACTGTCTTTGAACGTTTTTTTGAGTTATAGGACCGTTTTGATATGTAAATTTGGTATTTTATTCTTTGGATTCCATAAAAAACTAAAAAAGGTGCCATCGCGAAAAAATGACAATAGTTTAGTTTATTTAGAAATTTTCGTATTTTTCTGTTTCTTTTAATGCATTTTTGTATAAATTTATATTGAATTAATCAATAAAGAACATATTGACTATTTATTAACTCACAAATTAGAAATATTCACTCGAATCATGATAAGTCCGAGTTCTTCGAATAACTAGTTGACCTACGTAATATGTCCCCCTAGATTATGTTATGATGAGTATCTACCTGGAAAAAAAGGAGATTTTAGTTTAGATAATTCTTGTAACGATGACGAAACTTGTACCTGAGTATACAAAGTTCCGATGAAAAGGCAGTATCTTTACGTTTAACTTAGATACAACATTCCATATTTTTAGTCAAAAACTCGCACTTTTATTAAAGATTTTGATTTAAAAATACTTGTTTAAATCTCTTAATTTTATTAGAAAATCAAAATTTTATCTCTATTTAAGTTCGTTCTTGCCCTTCCTTTATGTTTACTCACCGATTGTGCTTCTGAAATATATGGCTTTTTTTGCAGCATAAAGGAGGATCACGTCAAATGTAGTCTTTTTTTTTTTTTAACGTATTAGGATGGAATTCTGAACGTTGAATATATTTCCAATTTTTATACATAATAAATATTATTATTAAAATAATCCTTAAGAATAATTGGTAAATATAAAAAAAGTTGCATTACTTTATTGATGCGATTGTACAGTATATTGTAATAATTATTGTAACATAAGTATTTAAAACTGATCATTATCAATAACTTCAAATCGTATTATTAAAATCAAGTAATATTTGAATTATTCAAAAATATATTTATTAAATACCTCAAAATCTTGACATCATGACGCCCTTGTTGATTCTAAATGTAGTCAATAATACATCAGAGAAAGCTGGTTCACTAGCTACACTTGATGCTTGTGCTAGATAATCAATGGAAGTATTGTAAATTCAAAGAATGAAACCCGCCACCAAAGAAGTGATTCACGTTTCATTATGTGTTCAAATATTGTCAATTTTACAATTTTAGAGTTAAAGTGGCTTGGTTCCTAAAACAATATTTCCTTGGTCGATGAAAGTAATCTTCGTTTGTGATGTAGAATTTTCTTGAGAGGAAATTGTAGATGTGATTTTTGAGCAAATTATGAAAATGTGAATTTACAATATGTGGTGAAGCCGATGACTCGTGAAGTGGATTTAAAAAAAAAAGGTTATGTTTTCAATCCTAACGCTTCCAATAATTGTGATGATAAAGTTAAAAACTTTCGGTTTGAAACAATGTATTAGGTAGGATCTTGACAAACTTTTTAAATGGCTCATGATGAAAAATGTTTTCACGCATTCCGAATGGATCCTTATTTAAATACCCCTCTTGTTGATGCATCAGATATATATGAAAGAAAGCGACAAATGCAAGTTCATTAAAAGTTCTAAATATTTTGTTCGATCTATTTAATCAAAATTTATCGTACCACTATAAATGTAACTTTTTAAAAAGTAGATATAAATTACGTCAAGATTTGAATAATAAAAAAAAAAAGAAGATAATTATAAAGTTTTTTTTTTTCGTTTAGCTCCAGTTTCTGGTTTGTTTACTTATGTGGAGTGAGTTTTTTCGGACCAATTAGAAGACAAGGCTCTTTGAAAATATTGAGATCGGAAACGCAAAATAATTGAATGTGCGTGGAAAACACTTTGCTCTTCTCCAACATGAATTATAACGTTATAATCTTCTTCAAAAACCATTGGTTATAAATTTCTTTATAATCATATATCTTCCTTGTAAGTAATCGTATCTTTATAAAAATATATTCATTTATTAAAATGATGATGATGTAATGTGTAACAGGTCACAGCAGATTTACATTTGATATATAAATCTGGAAATTCATTATAACTTTGCCATTTAAAAAAGAAAAATGACATTCGATTATCCTCAAGAAATTATTGATGATTTAGAAAAATTACTTGAAACTGAAGAAGGGTATGATGTTATTATCTATACTGGTGAAAATGAAAACGTGAAGGAAATCCACGCACATTCGTTAATTTTACGCACAAGGTCACAATATTTTCGTGCGGCATTTTCTAATGATTGGGCCAAGAAAAGAGACGGAAAATTGATTTTAAAAATACCAACCATTTCTACTCAATTTTTTAAATTTATTCTAAGGTAAGGTACAGTAAATGGAAAAATAATAAGGATTTGTAAAATAAATTCCGCTGATTCAGCAGTATTCATCATTTTTTTTTTGTTTAGATTTCTTTATTGTGGAAAGATTGATTTGACAAATTTACAAGGACCTGATATATTAAAACTTTTAATTGCATCAGATGAACTTAATATTCAAACATTAATACTTTGCATTCAGGAATACTTGATTAAGCATCAATACGAGTATTTGCAACAAAATCCCATAGGAATTCTTGAAACAGTATTTCAACGTGAGTCATTTACCGGACTTTTGGATTATTGCCTTGAGAAAATCTGTGAAGAACCCGAGATATTGTTTAATTCTGATAAATTTATCGTATTGAAAGCACCTTTATTAGAGTCCTTTTTAAAAAGAGACGATTTATGTTTAGATGAAATTGTTATTTGGGATAACTTGATCAAATGGAGTTTGGCTCAACATCCCTCTATTCAAAATGATGCTAAAAAGTGGAATAAAGAAGAGATTACTATTATAGGTAGAACGATTCACAGGTTTATTCCTTTAATTAGATTTTATTATGTCTTCGGAAGAATTTCTTGAAAAAGTACTTCCTTTTAGAGAATTACTACCAAATTATTTGGTTAATAACCTCTTGGCATTTTATTTGGCGCCAAATAAGAAATCTAATATCGATATACCACCACCTAGAAAATCAAAACTGTCAAAACATATTTATAATTCAATATTAGTTGAACATCAACATTTTTCTATATTTTCGAGTTGGATTGATAAGAAAGAAAATTTACATTACGAAAAAAAAAGAATTCCTTATAAGTTTGACTTACTTTATCGTGCCAGTAGGGATGGCAATACAATTGCTGCATTTCATCAGAAATGTGACAACAAAGGGGCTACTATAGTTATAGTAAAACTTACTAATTCAGAACAAATAATTGGAGGATATAACCCACTTGTATGGGATCAATGCAATAGTTATAAGTCATGTAATGATAGTTTTATATTCTCATTCGTAAATAGAACAAACCATCGAACTGCAAAAGTAGGTATTATTAATAATAATGCTCAAAATGCTATATATTGTCATCAAAGTTATGGTCCAACATTTGGTAGAGGTTGTGATATTACGTACTATAATAATACTTGGAGTTCTAATAACCCAACTACTTATTTTCAAATTGATATTCCCAACGGTAGGTTTCAAGTAGATGATTATGAGGTATTTCAAGTTACTAAAATACAGTACAAAATGAAATGTATTTTATCCTAATAAAATTATTTATGCATATTAATTTATATGCCCGTTTAACTGTCATGTTGATAAATGAAAATTCCTAACTTTAAATAAAGATAATAATAAATCCGACCATGAGATTCAAACTTTTTATTAGTGTTTGAAATATATTAATTATCGTAATTCCATTGTTCGTAATTTTTTTAGGGTTGTTAAATTTATAAAATAATAAGAGTTATGATGTCAGAATTCGTGACAGACAAGTTTGGATTAAGAACATTGTATATTGAATGTTACGATTCAACTTTGCTAAATTTTGCTAGAAATTCCTTCACATTAAAAATACTGAATAATTTTTGTTTTGTTTCTTAAGCTGTTTTGCTTTTTGATAACACAAAGGCTCATTATTGGAGATGCTTCATGCATATTTATTGATTGAGTTTTTTTAAATGTCATCAGAAAATTATTTAGTATGATGCAAAGACCTATATCAGTTAGCATTTGTTTTTTTTTGACATTATTTATTTGAATACAAAGAAATTTCAAACGGAAATTTTGCTTTATTGAACTTCAATAAATGATTAATTATTAAAAAAGTAAGTAAAATTAAAATAAAAAAATCACGATATTGATTGATCCTAGATTAATAAACACTTAAGGAACGTGACAAATCAGGAGATGAAGGTCTCCGGACGAAAGACAGGTAAATTATCCATCAAAAGAGTTAGCCTCCACGAGGTAAAAACCATCTAAGTAGCATGTAAAGCATGTAAGGTAATTAATATTACCCTATACACTTGAAATTCGTGTATTCAAATTTTTTTACCCTTTTTTTCGTTCATTCTCTGCAAATTCCCAACAAAATATATGTACACGAAACACGCAAAAAATAAAAATATAGAGTCATTTTTTGATAGATTTATTCTTTATTATATGGCATTTTTTAATCACAAATTATTTATTTCACTCTTACCCCTCCATTCTTTATTTAGTCGGTTAGGCAGGTCGCGATTTCCGGTTTAGGTTTACAGGATTTTAGGTTTGCTTTTTATAGGTTCGGTTATTTTTGTCAGTCATATACGGTAAGACTTTAGTTTGTGTGTACATATATTTGTTTTAGGAAGTTCAAGTAAACATAAAAAAAAAATACATGTTTCGTGCTTTGTTTTGATATTTATATTAGTAAAACGATATGATGAATTATTGTATTATATAAAGATCAAACAAAACAAGTTTTTTATATTGTGTTATTCAAAGTTTTTTGAAACGTGATCATAGAATATATGATTTTAATTTGATTTATTTACGTTCTTATAGAAAAGCATCATAGCTGCAGTTATGTCTAGTTTCCGCGAAATCCAACCGCTCGCTATCCCGTGGCCTGTACCGAAAGAAAAATAAAAATAAAATATCAAATTATGAAAATCAAATAACTTAAACCATCTTTGTTCTTCCTCACTAGTGGTTTCAAATATAATAAAAATATTTAACGTTAATAATTTCGCCACTAAAACTTAGCTTTTTCAATATGAGTTGACGGAAAAAAAGAAGCTCGGAACACGTAAGAAAATGGCACTTTCAATCATGTGATTTGATCTTTTTATGCAATAAAAGAAATTATGCATTATTTGTTTTCACATCTAAACTATTTATTTTTTTAACAAACTATTAATTAATTAATAACGCACATTCCTACTTCTTCAAAAATTTAACTTTGCCTTTGGTAAGAACGAACGTTGGCAATAATTATACTAAAAAAGATACCTGAAAACAAGAGTATGAAATAACAGCTATTGAAAAAATTTAATATTACTCTATGTGCACCGGGGAAAATCGACTTACCTGCACACATGAAGAAATGGTTTTTGATAATGATAAAAAAGATCATTAGGAAAATTATTGCAAATTCTCTTAGGCAAAGTCTCATTAGTTTTGAAAGTCGAAAATATTTACTTATATAAGAACATGTTATGACGATTTATTACTATTTAATATTTATTTTCGCGATCCTGATTCTTATTATTTACAAAAGAAAATATCAAGTGAAATCTTGGTTTAACTACGAAAAGTACACATAAAGATGATGTAATATTAAAAGTACGTACATCTATCGTTGAGAGAGAGAATAAGGACTTCATAAAATATCCAAGATGGTTGGTATAATAATTTAGTTTGTTTTTTAGTTCAAATAATATCGATATAGCCAATTTCACGTTATAAATTTGGCGAATCATTTGCCTATTAAGTAGAAGTATGGATGTTCGCTACCTATCAAAATCAGGAGTTGACGTTGGTAAATGGCCGATGCCTCCTCCGTTCAGCTCGAATAAACAAATCGATTTTAAATACTGTATTTCTAGGCACAATTCCGAAAAAAATTCACGAACTAATTGGAAAATCAACTGCAGCGCCATCGCCATCAACAGCTTCATCATCATTTAGTGATGGAGTCTTGGACATCCAATGGGCATTGAAAATAAATTAATTCACGTCAATTGAGAAGCAGGAGCAGCTGAAAGTGATAGGTTTAGTTTATTACTATATTATCCAGATCAGATTTTTAGAACTTTTTACAAACGTTCTGAGCACGTGATTTTATTGTATTTATTAAACGACCTAAATTAATAAAATATATAAATTAATTATCTTACCTATTAAGCATTTACTAAAATATATTTTATTAATTAAATTTTTTTTTATATATATAATTTAAATATTAAAAACAAAATATAAGAAAATAAAAATATTATAATATTATAACAATCATTTGCAAAGTATATATTTTATATTAATCATATTTAAATCTTTTTTAGAATTTATTATTTTTATTATTATAATTATATTATAAAAAAATAAAGTAAGCAAATATTAAATAATTATTATGCTTTTCTATATAATTTTGATGGATTTAAATTTTAAAAATCATAAATAAACCAGAATAAGTTATAAAAAAAATATATTATTTTAATAATATATGAACTGTTAATATATTATAAAATTTTATAAACTAGTTCTTTCAAATTTTGATTTTAATTTTTATTTAATTTATATAAGTAAAATAAGTCTTATATAAATTTAATGATTAAATAATAATTTTTATATTTTTTTAAATTTTTAATCAATATAATAAATAAAATAAGAAATTCTTATATAATATATAATTGCTTTTTATGTAATAATAAGTAAAAAGTTTTAGCTAAAATATTTTAAAAAATATTATATTTAAAAATATTACAAATTACTTTAAAAAATTAATAAAAACTTACTTATTGAATATTATAATTATCTTTAATCAATAAGATTTTTAGTATTATTAATTAAATTTCAATTTCAGTAAAATAAATCCTAATTTTAATTATGTCTTATAATTATTATTCATTTATATTCATTTAAAATTTAAAATCCATATTATTTTAATATTAAAATGAATAGTTTTATTTAAAATAATTGTTGATTTTATGATCATCTATATTTAACCTAATTAAATGCCAATTTTTATAAAAGGATTATTTTCTTTTCAGATATATAAGGTGAGTATTGGGAAAAAGGACCAAATCGACAAAAAATTTTTTTTTGAAATAACAAATGATCTGAATCAAATAACCAAATTTACATCTATTTTACTTAAGAATTTTTTTTAAAAAAAATCAATTTGGTCCATTTTTCCAGCACTCATCCCATATATACTTAAAATATTATTACCTATTAAAATTAACTAAAAAATTGTAAAATTTTAAAAATATTAGTATTGAATTTTTAAAAATAATTTTTTTAATACTTACTTTAAATCATATTAGAATTTTATCAAAAAAGTTGATGCAATATTCTAAAATTATCATAATTAAATATTAAATATTTGGATAATAAGATACTCATAAAATCTATCAATTTACTAAAATTTATAATTATTTTAAAGATATTAAAATTTTTTTATTTAAAATAATTATTTTTATAAATATTTTTATAATTAATTTAATTTAATAATTTGTTGTAATATAATTTATAAAGTAAAAAAATAAATATAAAATTTGATTAATTATAATAAAATTCTAATATTTATTAGTAATCAACTTATCAACCTTTAAATATCATCTCTGATTATATTATAATCAATAATTAATTTTATATTTATATCAAAATTAAGTAAAGCACTATTATTATAATATTGAGATAAAATATTATAAAATAGATAAACTATTATAGACTAATTAAAATAAAGTGTTATATATTTAAATTAATATATTATATACTGATTAAGCTAGAATATAAATTAAATTAGAGTTATATCTTCAATATTAATTGATTAAGACATTACATTTTGATATAATATATTAGAGTTATTAAATTTATAAATTTAATTTGTTATATTCTTTAATAAGAAATGATCTTATAAAATGGTTGTTATTTTTTTTTAATAATTTGATTAATTGCTAAAATAATATATATTTATTAAATCTTAAATAATATATTTTTTTAATTTTAATATAATTACAAAAATAAGAAGTTAATTTTAAAATATATGTTTATATAAATTGAAAATATTAACAAATCTTTTATCTTAATACTAAAAAAATATATTTTAAAATATTTATTATTTATTTTCAAAATCTATTTTAAATTATTAAAGTAAATAAATATATGATATTTATAATTTTATTCTAATTAGATTTTAAAACTTTATAATCTTCTTTTTAAATAAAATGTTTATATGTCTTATTTATTTTCAATATTTATAAAAAGTTAAATACTTAATAAATATAAATAATAAAGTTTAATTTATATTTTTATTACTTTTATTATTTAATTATTATTATATATTTATTAATTAGCTTTGTTTTGAATTTTTTTTTATATTAATATTCTTTTAATACTTATATAAGATATAATTTAATCAGTTATATAAGAAATTATATTATAATTTTGAAGATTTAAAAGTTTAAATCCTAATTTTTGTTAACTAATAAGCTAATTAAAATTTTATTTTATATTTTAATGATAAGTTTTTTAAAATTTTTCTTAATCTTAATCTATTATAAAACAAAATAAGTAAAAATTAAAAATTAAAAAATTTATTAAAAATAAAATATATAATTATTAATTAAAAAAGTATTCAATTAATAATATTACATATATTATAAATATTATAAATTTAAAGATTTAAAATTCATATTAATCATAATATTAATAAAAATAATATTATATAGTTGATTAACTTGATAATTTTTCAGAAAATCACTAGTAAATATTGTTAAGCTTAATCTGCATATCATTAAGTTAATAATTCATATTTGCTAATAAAGAGTTTAATTATATTTAAATTATAAAAAAATATACACAAGTTTAATTAATAGAAAAGTTGATTATAAATTAATTATTACTATTTTTTATTATAGAAATAATACAAAATATTTATATAAATATATCAATAGAAAAAATAGATATTTAATAAAGTAAAGAAATATAATAAATATAAGAAAATAAATAAATATAAAAAAATTAACTATATTAAAGAAATATAAGAAATTATAGAAATTATAAAAATTTAAGATTAGCAATCATAAGATTCACAATTCTCTAACTATGATTAGTATAGTTAATATTTTGCATTTTAAATGGATTATCACTAACAATGATAAGCTTATAGATTCCTAATAATCTGCAGATTACAAATTATAATTGGCACAGTAAATTTTGTAACATAATTAAATGATTAATAACATAAAGAAAAATTATCTACTTTAGTTAAAAAAATACTATTTGTTATCTATATTAATAAGAAAAATAGTAATTATAACTTTCACAGCCTTTATGACTATTTATTAGATTTGCTAGTGATAATATTATATAGGCATTTTGCAATAAAAGAAAGAAATTACTAGAGTTCTGAATGAACTGAGCTAACTTTGAATTAAATGAATTGAGTTAAGTTGATTTGAGTCAAGTTAAAAATAATTTAACTTGTTTAACTTAAGTTAAGTTTAAGTTAAGCTTGACTCAACTCAAGATAACTCAAGCTAAACTCAAGCCTAAAGTGTAGTAAAACTCAAACACAAAATTAAGCAAAACTTGAACCCAAAATCAAGCTAAACTCAAGTAAAAATTTAACAAATTTTTTTAAAGAAAGAATAAAAAAATCATTTCAAATATCGAAATTAATTTCAAATATCAAAAATTATTTCAAATATCGAAATTAATTTCAAATATCAAAAATCATTTCAAATATCAAAATTCATTTCAAATATCGAAAATCATTTCAAATATCGAAATTTAATTCAAATATTAAAAATCATAATTTGATTTTGATTATCAAAATATATATATTTTTTAATTTTCATTTTTTAATATTTA